CCAAGTAATACAGTACAGAGGGTTAATGTGGCTTGAAGAGTATCTTACCGGAAAGGATGCTTTGTTCCGGATTTGCTTCGGGGCTGTAGTCCTCAGATTCCTCCTCATAACCTTGGTCCACACCGCTGCCTGTCGTGTTGGCCAGTGGCCGCTCTCTCATCAGTTCGTCCATCAACCAGTTCGTCCATCAACACGTAAAATGAAAAAGTGGTGGGGTCGGAGCCACTTCTCCCGTTCTTGTTCTTAGCTTGGTAGTACTTAGCTTTCAAGCTCTTCCAGCGATTTTTTATTTGCTCAATTGTTCGATGGATTCCGGCTTCTTCCAGTTTTTCATGCACTTGTTTAAATAACTCCGTGTTCCTACACTTTCGACCGTCAAGGCGTTCGATAATTTTGAGTTCTTTTAACGTTTCGATTAGAAATGTTGTGTCGCTCACCGACCAGCTCTGCTTCGCCGCCATGTTAGCATCTACCCATTAGCCAGGCGGAAAAGGAAACGCGTAGAGGTACGCGTCGCACATGCGCAGTCGGGTCATTTTTTCACCATCAGATAAAAACGAACAGATCAAGCGTTTACATGCGCACCGATCGGGCTACGGATCGGCGTAAACCACCCGTTTCGATGTGATCACAAATTATAACGGATCGCGCCGAATACACAAAAAATAACCCGAACGGAGCGTTTACGTGACACACTTTTGTTCCGACTGGCCATTTGATCCGGTTACTTATGTCCATGTGAACAACTCGCTGTGCTATTTTTCACCCAGCGGAGATCGCTATTGATCATTTACACAACACGTACAATTTAAGAAATGGAGTACTTTAAAGTATATTAACTCAACTACAACATTATTATATTGTTTGCATTTAACAGAGAGAGGGGGTGCACCGGTCCTGGAGATACTGCAATACCAGGTCGATGCGTGGAGTGGACGGAGCAAGCCCCTATTCCATCTCCCTGTTCCAAAAATCAATTTAATATATGGTCCCCGGGTAGGGGACGTATCAGATATTCAACTGATAAGAACAGATACTACACTTGATCTTAGCCAAAAGGCCGAGAAGCGATAACACAAAACTACCACAGGACACGGTGTCATTCTACACACACACAATTTCACTCACGGTTCAGAAACTGAACGTTACATTTTGCGTCTCAACAACTCATTTATCTCTTACTTTCACTTGTAACGATGTAAAATCACATATAGTTTGTTGTTGTTTAACTGTTCTAATGCTTTAAAATAAAACTAATGCGTAAAAGGAACAGCCGCCAGACTACTTCCGGGGCACGTGACACACTTCGGTCCAATAGGAACACCGAGACGCACAGACAGCTAAAATAATCAAACCTTCTTCACAAAGACGTTTAAATAACTATTCTACATTTACACAGACATATATTCGTTATTTCAGGCGCACTTCATGAGCCAACTAAAACTCGTAGTCTCGACACAAGTAAATGTTGTTTAGGATAAAACTCGTCAGAAACACTTTAGCACCTCCTGGAGGAGAGGAAGGTGAACTGCAGTCCTTCATGTTCCAACCCCAACGATAAATTAACCCCCCGGTAAACAAATCCACGTTTTCATGGCTGAGACAACAATTAAACAATAATAGGCAAAGTAAACAGGTTGTTGTGAAAATGTTCGAGTCAATATGTTTTGACAAAACCAGCCCAGACAGTTCCCATTATTTAACACGAAGTCAGCCTCCACACTCGACACTTCGTCCAACACTAAAACTTTTCAGTCACTTCTAAAAAAGTTAAATCTGGTCCTCTGGACATTCAAAAAAACCCAAAACAAAAGGATTTGGGGCCAAAAGGATGGCCCAGCACAGAAGATCAACATCATCAGGCCAGGACTCTGCGGTCTACACTCATCTCCAGGCCAGAGGTCACTCTTTCAGGGATGAAGATGTTCACATCCTGGATAGAGAGGAACGATGGTTTGAGAGAGGAGTAAAGGAGGCCATCTTTGTGAAAAGAAACCGTCCATCATTAAACAGGGGTGGAGGCCTCCGGGTTCAACTGTCCCCCTCTTACAATGCTGTGATTGCTAGTATCACTCAGCCCTCTGTGAACAGTAAACAGCCATCAGTGTGCTAATGATCCATTGTTAGGCTGATGGTCCTTCTTGAGCATGTGAGCAGCTGGTTTTGGTTGTCAGCAGCAAAACTGGTTGATCCACTTTGAGAAGGTGCTATTTATAAGACTGAGCTGAATACAGCACCTCAGACTGAAGAAGTCTTTCGGATGAAAGACGAAACGTTTCTACATTTTTTTTATTTTGTTTTGTTTTTTAGAATGTCCAGAGGACCAGATTTAACTTTTTTAGATTTTTCTACCTGGATTATTGAGCATGCATCAGGATATTTTCAGTCACTTGTTCCCAACTTGACTTTTTAACAGCGCTGGAGCGAAAAGCGTCAATTACATTTGGCCTTATTTGGCCTATTTGGCCTTACATTAAGGCCAAATAGCGCCACAAGCCTGAATCAGCCGAGGCCTGCACCCATTAATAACCACGAATAAACAATTAACTAAACACCTCTCAACAAGTCCACGTTCATATTACAATTTTACTTTTTCATAACAACAACTAACAGGAACTTTCAAACTGTAATGTGTCTTTTGGAAATGGCGGACTGTTGTAAGAGAACTAGCAAAAAAAACACCTGAGAAGACATTATTTGTATTTAGGATAATAAAAAATAGGGAATTAATTAACTGAACAAAAACTCGCCAAATTTCGTGGTCCTCACCTGGAACCGTCCTGACGTCAAATACCGGTTAATTACCAGACGCGCATGCGCAGACACGAAACCTGAGAGCTCATGGCTAACTTGTAGTTAACTAGGCAAACAGTTAAAGTTGTACAAATACTGATATAACATAAATTATTTTCCCCATCTGAAAATGTTTTATTGCCTACACATTTTGATCTAGTTAAGGCTTAACTTTTGGTGCTTTTTATGAGATGATAAATATGCAATTAGCTTCATGATTAGCTTTAAATTAGCAGTTAGTTAGCATGTTTTTGTTCAAATCTTTATTTTCAATTTAGGCACAAAATATGGATGAAGAGTTTTTTTTACTGATTGCATTAAATTTATTATTATTATTTTTTGTATCTATTGTTCCATATTGATGCAGACCTGGAAAATGCTCAAAATAAATTCAGTCATAGCACAATAATCCAGACTGAGCTGCAGGTTTGGGTGTATAATTAAAATATGTTTGTTTAAAGGAATCAGAGGGCAAAAGCACTGAACAAGATGGTAACAATGGTGCTTTAAAGCTTAATAGTTTATAAAAAAAACAACAACAACAATAGATCAACTGTTGTCAGCAATATTTATTCTCACAAACATCCACCAAACATGAAGCTTTCAGTTTAACAAAAACAGCAGTTTGTTTTTACAGATTGCACAGAAATGGGATCCCAAATAATTTGAACACCGTCGTAGAAAACTAACATTTTATTAAAAACACAATCTGAAGCACCGAAACTACAACGATTACACGAGCACATTCTGAGTTGTAGCACAGAGAACAGAAAAAAAACATCCAAAAAGTCACGAGTAAAAATGTTTCCAACCCTGAGCAGTATGAGGACGACAAAAAATCTGGTGAAAGTTGAAGGCACAAGCTGGACATTTCTCAAGTAATCATTGGAAATTTACTTTTTAACTTATAAACTGCTTCACGTTTGACAGATTTATGCTTTTATTGTACGTGACAAACACGTCGTACCTTTAAAAAGAGTCACACTGAAGAAAGTTCTGAGTTAAACCTGAGAACTGTCCACATGTTCAAGAGCTCATGTTTGCAGAAAATAAAAGTATAAAGATGTAAACAACTAAATCCAAGTGGTTCTGCTTCTTCTCAAAGCACAAAGTGAGCGTAACGCTTGTTTTATTTTGAGCGACGCTCATATAAAACACTCTCCCAAAAGTATAAAATAAAAATGCACAACTGCATTTTTTTTAACAAATTCACACAACTTACATTTAAAACTCTAATAAGCAGGTTTTGTCAGTCAGTGCTTTTCTCCGACGTCGCTCTTCAGATATGAGAAACTTAAGGACCTCAGATTCAAACACAAAAGATGTAAAACTCAAACTAAATTCAACCATTAAAGCAGCTGAGATCTGAATAATAATCACCTCCGGGCTCAACACGTCCTCAAACTCACTGAGATGATCGTTTTTTAAAGCAAGATTAGGTGAAGTCCTTCGGATGAAATTACTTTAGGACTAAAGACGTTTATATTTCATTTTTTTTGTGTGTTATTCAAATACAATCAGTGGCTCTAAATGATTCAGTGGAACTGAAATCTGTACAACTTTCAGTTTTTATTCGTCACCTTGTTCTGTCGTCTTTAGAAAGGACTAAACGCCGTCAGTTCCACGTCCTCAAACACGTGATCTTCATGGCTCCATCACGTTGCCGAGCTCCACTTCAGCCAATCACATCGCTCGCTGACGAACAGCCCCGCCCTCTGATCTGCCGCCTCCTGTCGCATCACTGCTTCCCGGCAGCAGACGAATTAACTCTAAAAGAAAAAGAAAAATGCATAATTTATGTGTTCGTCTTGTTTTAATTGACTTCTGAAATTAACCCTTGAAAGGTCTCATGGCAAAAAAAAAAGCCACGCGTAATTTTTGTCTGTGTTTTTATTTATTTATCTTTTGGTGTTGTAGTCAACCTGAAAAAGCCAAAAAAAAATTAATTTTTTAAAATAAATTTTTATTGTTCAAATATTCCCATATCATCACGGTAATGTTACTACACTCTAGTGTTCCTGAGGGGAAAAACTGATCATATTGAAATCCTTTATAAATGCATTTTCTGATCTCATTATGATCATATCATAAAATAATGCCTTCCTTTCAGTAATTTTTTTGTTTGAGAGCCTCTGTAAAAATCTACTGGAGGAGCTTTCATCCACCCTGACCTCATTCCAGCTGGATGTTGCTGCAAAGTTCTGCCTCTCGTCTTGTCCGACAAAAATATTTTAGTTTAGATGTAAAGACACTTACATGGTGTAAAAGTAAATATATGGTACAAAAAAAGCTGTTGCACGTGCATGCAAGATGAAGAATAAGACATTCTGTGGCTCAGATTGACAACTGTGTCAGTATCAAAGATTTCAGTTCAGCATCGGCAGCACTTCAGTGGGGGGTACCGCAGGGGTCCATCCTCAGTCCCCTTCTCTTTTCTTTATACCTGCTGCCACTAGGTGCTATTTTCCGCAATCACAACATACCATTTCATTTCTACGCCGATGACTGTCAAATTTACTTCCCCCTGAGGCACAGAGGCACATGCTCTATTCAACCTCTTCTTGACTGCCTGGCTGACATCCGGGACTGAATGGCTTTAAACTTCTTAAGTTTCAACAAGAAGAAGTCTGAAGTCATCTTGTTCCATCCCAATGGCACGTCCATGAACCACTGCATTGACCTTTCCTCTCTAGCTCCATTACAGAAACAAAGAGTCACCAATTTTGGAGTGATAATGGACCCTTCCTAAAAACTTAACAGTCATGTAAACATGATTGTTAAATCCTGGGGTTTTTTTTTTCAGCTGAGGCGAATGTCTAAGCTGAAGCCCATATTGTCCAAAAAGAATCTTGAGACAGTGATCCATGCGTTCATAACATCCAGGCTCGATTGCTGCAATGGCAATGCGCTTCTGTTTGGTATCAATCAATCCTCCATGGCACGTCTACAACTGGTCCAAAATGCTGCATCCCAATTTTTAGCTGGTACAGGCCATAGAGAGCACATTACTCCAGTTTTGGCCTCCCTGCACTGGCTACCCACTCACCTTCGGATCCAGTTCAAAATACTCATGTATGTTTTTAAATCACTGAACAGTTCTGTCCCATCCTATCTCAATGATCTTCTACAGCCATATATCCCACCGCGCTCTCTGAGGTCAGCAGATCAGAGGATCCTTTCAGTTCCAGAAATCCGTCGCAAGCTCAGAGGTGACAGGGCTTTCTCTGTTGCAGGTCCAAGACTGTGGAATGAGTTGCCACTGCATGTCAGGCAGGCTCCCACACTCACAGTCTTTAAGTCTCGCCTGAAAACCCACTTTTATTCCCTTGCCCTTGACATGGTGTGATTTGTTTTGATCCAGTCTGTAGTCTACAGTGGTGGCCAATTAGTTATTATCCACTGTTATTTGTATCTATATTTTTATTTTATGTTTTCCTGTCCGCTGTACTTGTTTGTTTCTATTGTACAGCACTGTGGTTGGCCTTGTTGCTGTTTAAGTGCTCTATAAATAAATTGGTATGGTATGGTATGTTAACTGTTGACGGGAAAAATTGTAAAAAATAAATAAAAATTTTAAAAAAAGATAAAACTTTGTTCAAAATATGATTTTTAACATACAAATTGAAGCCGAAACCGACTTCGGAACAAGCGGAAGATAATGGATGGATGGAAGAGGATGAACATACAAATCACCAGTTCCCAGCAAACCCTCACTGCACAATTGGGTCTACCGGGTCTGTCCAGCATCTTCTGCCATCATCTGACGCAACTCACAAAAAAAAAAAAAATTAATTGCACAATTTTTTTGAACGTGTTCTGGTGAATCGTGAGCGAAGCCGTGCGCGACTCATGCAGGGAGAATAAGAACTCCACAAAAGTTTAGACACATTTAGGAAACAAAATCAGAAGAAAACAAATTTAAACAACAGTGTTTATCAGTCTCTTTCTTGGGATTGAGACGCCTCACCTTCCATCTCTGTTTCCATCTTAGTGTTGTTTCCAGAGTTTGGACGACCAGCGCTGTTCTTCTCTCCATCGTTAGTGTCGCCCACATTCATTTTGACCTCGTCCAGTTTCACTTCAGCCAATTTTTTCCCGTCCGTAGTGTCCGTCTTCACAAGGCAGAGCGTCTTCAGAAGATCCACGATGTCAAAATCTTCTCCGGATCGTTCGCCTCGTTTCCTCAACATCTCCAGCACCTGCAGCCAGAAAACATGCAGGATCAGACAGAAAGATAAACGGAGCCCCACATGATAATGAAAAAACAACAAGAATAAGCTGTAAAGTATTTAGAGCTCCTGAAACATTGTGGAGCTTAAAACAGCCCTAGATTCAGTTTGATCATGTTAGTTTTTGTCACGATCGGGTGGTGGTTGAGACCCAAATGCAAGCAGGACTCCAACAAGGTTACAAAAAAGGCGTTTTAATCGCAAAAATGCAACAATAACAAATAATGCTGTCGGGGCAGCGATACTACTTACATTCGTAGGAAAAACAGGAAATACCAAGGCACTAGGAGACGATCGTGAAGATGCAGCTTAAGCACCTAATGCTCCCCTGCCTGAGATGCAGGAGAGCACCGTATATAAAGGGGAGTCTCTAATTAAACACAATACCTGGCACCTGAGAGTCATTAACTATCTGCACACAGCAGGGCAGGTGCAGATCCCTACAGTATCCCCCTCTCTAATAAACGGCACCTGACGTTCTAAAATACCCCAACCCAACTTGGGTGGCGGGGGAAAAAACTAAAGGTTGGAGGGCACCAAAAAACAAACAAACAATATAGGAGCAGAAGCGGAGTCCGTCTGGAACCCCACGGAACAGGAGAGGTGAGGAGCGTCCGCCGGAACCAACTCGAAGCAGGGGAAGTGAGGAGCGTCCGCCGGGACCCCCTCGAAGCAGGGGAAGTGAGGAGCGTCCGCCGGGACCCCCTCGGAGCAGGGGAAGTGAGGAGCGTCCGCCGGAACCACCTCGAAGCAGGGGAAGTGAGGAGCGTCCGCCGGGACCCCCTCGGAAACGGAGAGGTGAGGAGCGTCTGCCGGGACCCCCTCGGA